ATCAATTGATACTTTATAGTGATCGATTCCTAAATCTTTCCAAAGTGTTCATTTCTTGATCTGCTTCTTAATCATTTTTGTCTCCTTATCCAATGATTTCAGTCAGAAACTCCTCAAAATGGCCACATATAATTATTGCCTTTGTTATCTTTTATTCCATTTTCGCATGAAATCTACTGCTATTATATAGGATAATAACGTAAGGGATGCTGACGAGATTGCGATGAAATGACCTCCTTCAGAAGTGATAGTGACGTTGTTCCGATGGAAACCACGCCACCGTTCAGTAGTCCAGCTGATGCAGTAGCGGCCGCAGTAGCGGCTGCGGCAGCTGCTGGTGGAAGCCCTGGGACGAGCGGCCTTCAGGCGATCGCCGTTGACACGAGCTCTCAAGCGCAGCAACAACAACAGCAGCAGCAATCACCCGTTCAACAAGCCGGCTCATCCCCGTCCGGACTGTTCGGTGGACCACCGCACCTGATGATTCCGTCTCCGTCGTTGCCGAATCTGGCCAGCTCAACTACCAGTCAAATGCAAATGGATATGTCGGCTGCGTTGCTAGCACAAGCCGCATTTTCGCCGTTCCTTTCGATGCCGTCCTTANTGAAGAATAATCTGGTGCCAACACCAACGAGTATTATGGATTCATTACTGGATCCAACCACACTATCTGGTTCGTTTCAATTTAGCTTGCAATTAGACTGATGAATGAGATTTGTGTGCAGATGATGATCGCATGGAATTATTTCTTGTTCAAGTGTACGAGTGCCATTAGAGTGCTTATCACGCAAACTGTCATCAAAGCTGACTTTAGGGATGACCGAATAGTGATGAAAACAGTGGCAGTTCTCTGCTATTTATTGACATCATTATCGCTATCATCTTATCAGTGATGTTACGCTCCAGTTATGATAATGATCAATTGTTTTGAACTTTTCAATTAAACAAGGAACACTTTAGAAGGAGTCGCACGTCAAGCGATAAAATTCGATAGTAGAACGTTCAGTTCACCGTTACCTTTTGCCGGTTACCCGTCGTTGTTGAAACAACAACTTCGTGATCTGGTTCTGAGACGAAAATCGCTAGTTCGCGAAGAGCCTGAAGATGAGGCCGCAATCGAAGCTCAATTGATCTCAAGATTATCGAATGGTACAAATGAGTTGAGCGTTGGCGCACAACAATCTGGTACCGCAACTAGCGGTGGTTATAGTTTGAAGACAGGTCTGTTCTTCTAGTATTTATTATTTCACTTGTCTTTTACTCATCTTCATTTTGTCAAGTTTTGAATTTGATTTCTCAATTGTTTTTTTCATCTATTCGATTATTGTATGTTCAGTTTTTCATCATTTCATCATTGTAACTGTTCATTGCTGAACATTATTACATTAGGAATCACGCATAATCTTTCATTGTCGCGTGGTTAGGTGA